TTATTAGAATGATTCTCCAATAATTTTATGCCATCTCTATAATGACCTTCCGGAAGCTCTGCAAAATAATAGCTTCTTCATTCGACGAAAAACGCTTTCCACGAAGGTATTGTTTCAGGTTTCTGAAGAGGTAGTAGTCGCTAAGATCCAAATCTGGTGAATACGGTGGATGCTAAAGCGATTCGTACTTTAATTCGTTGAATTTTTTGATGAAAACTGATTTTTTTGTGCTGCAAACCAGGTCTTTTCTCACGAATTTTTTTATGCAGCTGATCCCAAAGGCTGCAATACTATTCAAAGTTGATTGTTTTACCTTTCTGCAGATAATCAATCAACAAAATGCCCCTACATCCCAAAAAACTGACGTCATAACCTTCTTTGCTGATCGTTGTGACTTCACCTGCTTTGGTGCTGAACAACCAGCTTCAATCCACTGTAAAACTTGTTGTTTCAATGTGGATCATGGTGGTAGATCTAAGTCTCATCCATAGTTATAAAAGGACGCAAGAAAGCGATTTTATTCTGCTTAAAACGCTTGAAATTATGCTGAGAAATTTGTTTTCGATCCAGTTTTAGTTGAATTGTGTTGTGCCGTGTGCGACACTAACTTTCCAAACAGCTTTTTCATATGTAAATTTCCATTTAAAATATGAAGTACGCGTTTGTCTGAGATGCCTATGGCATAAGCAAGTACACTTGGATCTTCAATAACAATATTATGAACTTGCTCAATGATTTTTGGTGTGATTGCGGTTTTTGCCCGTCCTTCGCGTGGATCGTCTTCAAGCCTAGTACGACCACGCTTAAATTCACCAGCACAAAATTCAATGGTGCGTTTTGAAGCTGAAGACTCCTTATACACTTCTAACAATTGTTCATAAGTTTCCCTTGCGTTTAAACAAAGAATCAAATCACTGCGCAATATTCAACTTTTTCATATTATAAAAATACTCAAACACGTTAACTTTAAACAGCTTGTAAACAAATAATTAATGGATAGAATGACTTGTAATATTACATGTGTTCTTACGACAGATGTACCAACTTTAAAAAAAATATAAAATTCGAGCTAGTAGCTCTTCAACCAACCTGTATATATGTACAGATGTATGTAGCCAAGTTGTTGTTGAATTTATGCTCAAAACGTAAAACAAAATAAAATCTAAATCTGAATATGCAGTTGATGAACATAAATTAAATACTTGTTGTACAAACATGCATACATACATATGTATATATGTATGTAAAACAAGGTTGCTCACGATCAGCATAACAGCAAAAACAAATATAAAATACACAAAATTAAATTAATTAAAAATAGACGATACAAATATGAGTTTATGTTCTAGCCTCTTTTCCTCTCCCATTCATTCCCAGAGTCATTCTCTTTCTACACGTTATTTAAATTGGAAACCACCGGCTCGCTTCACACAGACCACACCAAATGCAGTGCCAACTTTGTGGCGCGACGCGGTGCGATGACATAATTCGACCAGTGAGACAAACTGCCGCGTTTTCACGGCGACGACAGCAGCTTGAGGGCGTTCACGTTGCAGGGAAAAGATAAAATGGAATAGCGCGCACGTCAATTGTCACCGAACAACTCAATTAAAATTTATAAAGCGGTACATGTATATACATATATCACATACATACAGACATATGTTACATACATACATACAGACATATGTTATATACATACATACGAGTATATATTCAAGTAAGTTAATTATCATATATGGGAGGATGAGAACGATGCGCTTTGGCCAACATACACACACACATATGCAAGCGCGCGCGCACACTATAATTCAAATTGGATTATATTATTTAATTGTAACATTTCATTTGCCATAAATCAAATCGCAAATTAGCCAGAAGAATCAACGGAGCAATCCACATATGTACACGACGACATATACACAAATGTATACACGAGCGTGTTGGCATGCGCGCACTAGGAAAAAAATACAAAAAATATACAATTTACAACGGCAAATCTGTGTACGTACAAGTATTTATTCACACATGTATATCTATACATATGTATAGACTCACCAGACGTGAGTTTGGCTTTTTATTCAAATCAGTATGCCGCGCAGCGCTGCGTGACGCACATTTTAATTTGACAACTTTGCATATTCCTGCTCATACGCTACATTGCACCTTGTCCACTGTCGTGGCAATTAATTTTATGATCTACGCGCCAATCAAATTTACAAATTTAGCAAAACCATTAGCACTTACCCGTAACAAAGCCAAAAGTAGCAAGCGCTCGAAGACTGAGAGCCGAATGTGGCATACAAATCTATGCGCAGACTTAACAGAGCGTAGCATTGTTTCTGCGTAGAGACCTTGAAAAGGCAAGGAAGAATTTCAAATAAAAATTCCATCTTTGAGGGGAACATTTTTTATTTGTTGACTACTGTATGCTAAATGAAAACAGCAGAATGCCAAAGAGTCTGAGCGATTTTGCTAAAAATGTCAATTGGTGGCGCAGAAGACAGAAAAAGAAAATAGAATTATAAAATTAGCTACAACAAAAGTACTTAGAAATGCACATATGAATGTAGAAGGCGGGAACAAAGTCTTGTCGCGATGAACGTTGCATGATACGAAAGCGTTTTTAAATTTCTTTTGAGATTTTTTATTTTTTTTTTTTTTGCAATACGAGGGGTACTAATGCGTATTTTGAATACAAATTAGATTGTCAAGTGCACAGAGTAATGAAAAATAGCTGTGAGTGATGTATATTTTTGCACACGATTTACAAATGTATATTTGTAGATAATAAAAAGAATGTAAAGAATGCCGAGCAAAGTTGATTTAATAATGTAGCTCGCTCACCCGCCGAGCATAAACTTGATAAAAATTAGTAATATACCATAAAAAGAGATTAAATTTAGAAGGGAATTATTCGATCTGAAGTATTAAGGAATAGTTTATGTATATACATATCTACATCCTTTGCGAACAAAAACAACATGTTGGTGCCTAGAGAGAGTGAGCCCATTCCTCGTAAAGGACATCCTTGAGCATTTCCTTTGAGCTAATTGTGTTTTATCGGATTTTACGTACCAGCGAATCTCATAGGCGCTATTTAGGATTAAAATCTGATTATTCTGGTGGTGTTTGAAGCTGCTTGTGAACGTTGTAGAGTAACTAAAGCTCAACTATGTCTGCTGTAGGTCGTCATCCTGTAGAAAATAGGAGTCACTTCCAAGACCAAGATTATACCGCTCTTTGCTTCAAATTTAGTTTTAAGATATTAAGATATGCATATTTAACCATGGTGGACTCTATAAATTCTATTTGACCCACACAGTTACTAGCTATGCACCCCCATAACATTGCTTCTTTCACTCTTTCGCGACAACATTATGCACTTACCTATTGACTAGCGATATGAATTAGTTCTTGTGTGCGACTTGACCATAAAACCTTTTTTTTTATTTTATTTTTTTTTTGCGAATGGTGTCAGTGCAGAGGGATTTCTTAAAATAAAGTAAATCGAAGGTTTTGCTTCACACTTTGCAAAACGTTACGAGTTTCACGTTGTGCTAGTATTTTTGGCAGCCCTGGACGCGCGGAGATATAAAAACGCCGTGATGTTTATAATTTTTTTATATTACTCTTTGTATGAAAAAATGTGTTCTTCCAACAATTCGACTGATTTTATGGTATGTTTTTCGTTTCTTTTAGGCGAGATTCGATATTCTAAATTTTAAAAATGCCACTTTTACGAAAACAAATAAAACTATAACTTTACCATTGGTTATTACGTAGGGAATTCCCATTTTACTACTTGTAAAGACATTTTATTATGCATTTAATATGGTTATACTCTAAAATTTAGTATATAAAAGTTATTTTTTAACAAAAGAAAATAGAATATTATCGTGTATGCAGACTTACTCTAGAGAGTGTATATAAGTATACAACTAGAAAGTTAATAATGAAATGTGTTCGCAGAGGCATGGTAAAAGGTTGTTTCTGAAAGCTATAACTTTCGCTTTAAACTGGTTTTATGATTCGAAAAAAAAAATTATTTAATTAGATATGATGCTGAATACAAAATACACATGCATTTTCCGAATAATATAACATATTGGTTTAAAAAACAATAAAAAATTTCACAGAAACAAATAAGTGAACTATATTAAAAATACAAACGAGCAGCTGATGAATTTTGCAACATTTTAATACCTTGATTAACGAAGTAATAAAAGTACTATAAATAAAAATTATTTCTAAGAAGAATTTCAAAAACTTAGAAGCTATAAATAACACATGTGGACAGAGTGTAAACACATTGTACAAAGAGCAAATTATTTTAATATATTTGCATACATACCATATATAAAAAAAATATATGGGTCATTCCATCAAAATTTTGAATTCAAATTTTTTTTCGTACAAAACATTTTTTTGTTTTTGTGTTCTTTGAGGCAAAATATTAGACACGTATTTTTTTAATTCGATTTAATACGTACAATTTTGGAGTAATTCTATTCCAAAACACACTTTTCATTAAAAACAAAAAACTGAATAAAAATAGTTTCAAATTTGAAAAAAAAAAATTATTTGTTTATAAAAAAAATCGAACAAATTCAACATTTATGTCATTGGAAAGCTGAGAAAAAATCGTAAAGAATAGGCCGGTTAGGTATTTTTATACAGAAATACTTTTCTGCGTATACGCAAATGTTTTAAGGACTTTTCGAAAAGTTAAAATTTTGAAAATCTATAACTCCAAATTTTTTATATTAAGTCGATGTAAGAATACAAACAAAAAACAATTTTCACAAAAAAATGTTTGAATCTAAATTTTTGTTGGAATGACCCATATATGTATATTTATTAAGAGATTTTTTCTGCAGAGGGTTCATAAAAGAGGACACATTTTTGTTACTTCCAGTCAACACTTTCACACACTCAAGGCAGTCGTAAAACGCACTTCAAGGGAAAAAATACTTTGTTTCTGTACAATTATCACTTACCTGATCTTGGCAGAAGTAACCGAATCCAATAATACCAGCAATTGCCAAAAAGAGGCAAAATAGGATAATTGTTCGTATTTTGGAGCGTGGTTCCATTTTCTTAATCTCGTAAACACCGCTAGGCAGAAGTAAAGCAAAATCACTATCAACTTGTACGGAGACGTTCTTTTGCATATCCACTGGCATGTTCCGACATAGGCAACACGAATTACACGTACGATTTTTATTACCACACCAACGGAATATGCCGACTGCCAGCTGCTGTCTACAACACCATCAACACCTCACTTCACTCTTTCACCGCACGAACCAATCAGCGACGAACGAATGAACGAACACTTTAGTTTGAACAATGCGGTTGTAACGTTCTAGTAGCTGACTGATTTAAAGTGAATGCTTCAGCTATAGCTATAGCTGCTTTAACAAATCCCCTTAAGAAAAACTGTAAATGTGAATGCGAATGACGGCGCTTAAGTCGAGACGAACGGTACAGTAAATTCTAATAAAAAAGAGGTTAAATGGGTATAATGGAAAACTGAATTGTGCTTATAGCGGCAATAACAGTGGTGCGGATTTGGACGTTTTCCTTTCGTTGAATGAATGGAAACAATGCGGGCGTGCAGGTTGGTTTTTCGTTGTTTGTTGGGGTAAAGGGATTAAGTCCTCAGCACGCTTTCCGAAATACGATGCTAACGAAGCATTCACGCCGTCACGTCGCCACTTGTATTGCGAAAATTCCACTCTTTCAAATGCGATTTAAGCTTATTCCAGCCGCACAAACGTTGACGAGGCCGTCGTCGTCGGCGCCGCCGTCGTTGTAATCGATGTTAGCACCGTTGATGGCGATGTTAAATTCTGTATGCGAAATGCTCAGCATGATAAACGTTCGCCGGCTTCTGAATATACGCTCTGGGCGCTTAAGTATCTATGCGTCGATATTTGCGTGGGTGTGTGAAATTTCGTGAATGACTGTGATTGTAGATGTTTGTGTATTTATTGATGTTTTGGTATTTTCAGCCATCAGCCGGACACAGTTTAAGCGTTGCTAATTTGTGCCATCGGACGTGTTGCACCTATTTGCTTTTACTATGTATTCACGGCAATTTCTCGGTGCACCTCAACAATGCAACACAATAAATGCCGTGCAGAAAAAAATGTTTCGGGTAAGACCGTTTAATCGCGACTGATAACGGTATTTTACGGTGGGACAACAAATTCTGCAAAAAGAAACAAAAATGTATGGCGAAAATTAGTTACTGAACATTTGATTGAAAAAACTGTACAGGGATATTTATGTAATCAGGAATATGAAAACAAAAAAACAAAAATTAGTTGAGTTGGGCAGCGTACTGCTTATAACCGTTAAAATAAAATAAAATGCTTAGATAATAATTCTCAATAATATAGCAGTTGAAATTTTAGAAGTAATTGTTGGACCTGGCTGTATATTAGCTTAGTGACTGTTACTTAACCTAGTTCAAAAATACCAGCTAACCGCGTGGTAGCAACTATGAACACTATCAGCAAGTTACGACTACGCGAAACTCTAAAATATTGAACGAATTGACATGGAAACCAACGCATACACATACTCGTACACACAAATTGAAATTCATTAGCCCTATGCCTATAGTTTCCGACAGTTCGCCTAAAGGAACTCATAGAAATTTAAACAGAAGCCTTTGATAGCGCCCGCAGGCTTGTAGGGTACTCATTCAGCTACGGCGATGGAAATGCCAATTAGCCATATCAAGAAATATTACTTTGAGATTTTACTTTGCTTAGTAAATCGAGTGACTTCAGCGTGTCAGATATTCTAAAAAATTTACACTAGGCACATTAACGTAAATCAAACTCACGTAAATTGTTTACTTTATTTGGAAAGGTTTGATAGAAAAATACTAGGTGCGTGACGTCTTAGAGAAAAGGAGGTGAGAGGTTTGTTTAAGACTAAAATGTCAAGTTTAGAGCGTTCGTTAATGAATGTACACCTTTGTCCTCTGCCAAGTTTTGCAGCCATTTATTCATAGAATGTAGGACTACTTTACATAATTCCTTCGATAAAAACAAGATTAGCGGCGCCATTTGCTCCCACTGCACCCGTTTTGCAATTGAGGACACAATTTGTAAAGAGTGCATTTAAACTGTTCGGAACTTCTTCTTTTCAACCTATTTGATTACTAAATTTTTAGAGTTACCAATGTAAGTGTTTTTTCTTAGCTGCTTCAAAATGAGATATTTTATTTTTTTGCAATGGTTAACATTTTATTGTTAAAACTTTAAAGAAAAGAAATACAAAAAACTGACATAGTTTATGAGAAAAGTTCGTTCAAAATCAAAGCATCTCTCTATACAATTTTTTTTTTTTTTGGTTCCCCGTATGCAAAACTACATAAATTTGAAAAAGTAACTTGCCTAAGGTCATTTTGAATGGTAATTCTATGCTATAGGGGTCCGATCTCTACAATATGATTCATGGATTGAAAATAAGCTATGTCTAGTTTTGTGAAAATATCTTATCAAATAAAACAGTTTTTTATACAATTTTGACTATGATCTATCATTTTGTATGGCACCTACATATATACTATGGTGGTCCAAACGGCGGATCCGACAAATGAGCTTTTTATTTGGCCAAGGACGGTCAACTCGGCAGCATTCTTTAAAATTGTTTCAGGAATGTTTTTGCCGCTACAAAAACAACAAATGAGCAGCTTCTTGAAGAAAAAAAGTCGTGTTCAAAATTTGAGACTGATATCTGAAGGACGACTTCGCGTATATAAAGACAGACGGACATGGCTAAATCGACTTAGCTCGTCACGCTAATCATTTAAGTATCTATATACATATATACATACTTGTTTATAGATTATCCGTTTTCTTCTAGGTATTAAATACTTTGGGTTGAATTTTATATATTATCTTCAGATGGTAATAAAATATTTTACCCTCGTAAATGATTTCTATTTGATTGCTTTAAAAGGAGTATCAACGATGGATTGTTATTTTATTTGTAGACTTTTCACGCAAATTAACTTCTATTAAGATGTTATGTTGATGATATGTTTTTGGATAATTGACTTTATCATTTAGCTTTCTAAAATTATTTTTAAGCACCCGACACCTTACTTTACAAATTAGTATGCAATAGGATAATTACTACACGTAATTTATTGGACTTATTAGAAATGATTATTAACTTATTAAAAGAATCAATTTTCATCAGTCATGTTTTTAATTTACCTCAAAATAATTAAACTCAAAATATTCAAAATTTCAGTTTATATGTACATTTATATTATTTTTTTGTATACTCTTTTACTGAAAGACATACATATAAACATTCTACACAATTGGCACATTATATATTATACACCATTTTGTTAAATATTTATATGTATGCTTTGCCGGCAAGTAATAAAAGCACAAGCATATAGTTTTCTAACAGATGCCCAATAAGCAGACAGTGAGAACAATATAATGGAATGGGTCAGACAGGAGTCATATTGAAGTAAAAAGTTTTTACTGGTATGTTCTTTATTGAAAATCTGTCATTCCATGCAGATCAGCAATGCCCACACATCGCACCTTTTGTTCAAATGCAAAACACAATGTTGTCTCGAAGTCGCAGCTTCCCGGCCAACAACCTATGCATTTTCATCCTCCACTGTTTCCATTATTTACCAACACATGTGCAACTTGCTTGCCTACACATTTTATTTGAAGCAGCTGATTCGAGTAGAGCATATAATAATCGCGTATTGTATTTGTTTTGCTAAATATATAATATTATTTACCTAATCATTAGACAAAATAGCGCCGCAGTCACTATCTATGTAGACATTTGTGTTTTTATTTTTATTTACATTTTTCGTTATTGCACAATACACTTTTAAACTCTTTATCAGCTACTTTACGATTTCCACTTTACCAGAAAATTTGTAAACATACGATTTAGCGGTGGCTTGTACCATTTTATTTAGCACAAATTGTTATTGAAACACTTGCTTTTCTTTGTTTTAGTAATTAAAAATCGTTTATATTAGCACTATTTCTCATTTGAGCAGCAATCTGTTTTTCATTATTTATATATTTCAATGATTTTTACACATCGCGTAATTTATCCGCTAAAGAATTATTTTGTAGTTTATTCCACACCATGTTTTCGGCAACTGTCAAATGCGAATAGCTTCGACTGAAGTAAACGTCAATTTTCTTCGTTGCTTTGTGCCTATTCGTACGAATCAGCGAGTACGAACTCAACAGCAATGTTGGTGAAACTGCGCATTACAGTGCTGCCACATTTTGTATTGGTTGTGTTTATATGATTATGGCTTTCAAACACGCATACACACAAATGAATATTTATATATATATGTAAACGAAAGGCAATTCTAATTTATGTTACAAATAAAATTTAGAGATTTTTAAAAGACTTTTACTTTATAAAATAAACAAAAAGTTTTATTTTTAATGAAGAGTTAAAAATAATCAAACATTATCGCATTAATTCACATTAACTTTCGATTATAGCTCCACTACTGCAACTTCCCCTCTAATTAGACAAAAGGCACCAACCAATTTCCGTTTAAATGTCACGCAATAAAACAACAACAATAAAGAAATATGTGTATCACAAGTTAAATTTGTAATTAAGTTCGCAAAACTTTTTCGCATTTCATTATTATAAGCAGCAACAAACGCTAAACTCATTACAATCTCGAAATTTCTGAACTAATAAAATTTGGCAAGTATCTGAGGCATTGAAATGCCCTAAATTCCGTCGAATGCAAAACAATGCAAACTTTTTATTTGCTTTGGTATTCACGGATTATAATCATACAACAACAAAAAAGTCATAAATCCGAATTGAAATCAAAATTGTTTTACGCACTCAACTGCAACCTGATTGCACTGGGTTGGAAAATTCATTTTCATAATTTCCTTTATCCGCTACAATTCGCAACATTCCTTCTACCACACACACACATACAACCGCCACTGAGGAGTATGGGTAAGTTTTAATGACGAAATATTTTTCATTTTCTTCTGGTCATAAAAGAAAACCTCTGATTGTCCGAAAACCGCTGCTGCGAGAAAATGAGAAGAGTTTAATAATTACATATGTACATACTTATATATATATTTAATGCGCTTATTACAACAAATTCCAATCAAACCGTTTTCATGCGTTTTCTATTTTTCGTTTGCACCTTTGTATGCACACGGCTGAGTTGTTGTAATAAGAAATGATAATTTTTTTTGGTTGATTCAAAGTTTTTCATTATTTTAGTGAATATAAAGAAAGTCCATTGATAATACAATAGAAACCCTTTTTTTTTTTTTTTTGTTTCTAAACATTCTGAGATTTATAATGCCAAAAAATATCTAATTACAGTACTTTAAGCAATATTCTAGTGCAATTCATACAAATATGGTGTGTTCGTGATTGTCGTATTTCTTTTTATGTCTTTTTACTTTTTTTCCCAAAACAGATTAGTAAGCTACAAATAAATGAAACTATACCCTTTCAGTTATCCTCGAGGAAAGGGTGGGGAAGAGTAATTTCCGAGTTAATCAAAAGTTACGTGAATACTCAAAAGCAAAATGAACAAATGTCAAATCAAAGCATTAAATGTCTATTTGGTATCAAGATAAAGCTTTGGTCTGCATTTTTACTAATCAAAACATATGCGTTTGTGTGCGCACATACAATATACATACATGTGTTGATGTATGAGTAAGCTTATGTATGTAGGCAATAATCTATGTGTCTAACTGTAAACTACATTACAACTAGTATGTACACAAACTAGTTAGCCGACTTTTTCCATATTACATAACTTACGAGTTTTTAATATTCGATTTCAGTTCGATAAATGCCAGTATATTACTAGTTCTAAGATGTTCTAGAACACTGATAGACCAAGTAAAAAAATTTTATTCAAGCAGGTTGGGGGAGTAAATGAGACAGTGGCGTAAGAAATGTACAAAAAGCGACATATTTTATGTTGGTAATAATATGGTAATCGCTAGCGATGGATGTGAAACAAGTCTAGTCTTTTTCACAGCAGCTTAATTTCATTGCGGAGAATAATGTTGTAAAATAGTTTCTCTCTGATTTGAGATCAGTCATAAGCATCAGGTTGCAACGCGACTATATATTTTTCGACTAATTTTAAATTTACTGCAAGGATGACATACCAGCTTTCCAACTTAATTTTATCTTAAAACACTACTAACCTACCAGCCTATGTATAACACATGTTTTATGTTGTTAACCGCACACAATTATAAAATCCAAATCTTCAGTAAGGCGTTTAGGCGTAACAACTTGCAAGCAAGATAAAAAAAGTTTGACTAAAATAACTTAAAATTGCACCAAATTATTTTTATTTTGCTACGAATGCGTAATTCTGTATATTCTACCATTATGTACACTGTTTTACAAGTAACTGTTGCAAAAAAAAAATCTCACAAAATTCTTAACGAGAGCCAACTCAGCAGTCATGATTCGACCACATCGATTTTCCGTTTGCGTCAGTTAAACCCTTAGGAATACATATATTTAACATGTTTATCGTGATTTATAGCCTTGCCGAAATCCTCCTGTTGGCATAAATTATTCAAATTCAATCGTTTAATGGGTGCAATCTCTCACTTGGTTCGATAGGTAAGCATAGGTTCTTACATATGTAAGTTTCAGATGCATGTATGCCTGTGTACGAGTAAGTACGTGAATGGAGAAGCAGATTCACGAAATTTAGTTTGCAAAATAGAGTGCCCAACAATTGGACTTAATACATATGTATGTGTAGCAGGTAGCTAATGTATGCCTTTAGCATAATTTCGAAAAAAGGATATGCAAAGCACTTTCTTCAATTTAAATAGACATAGGTACACACATGTGAATAGTTATATAAAAGACACTCGCCTATGTGTATCAGCACTTTGCAATTTTGCTTTCATAATCTGTATTGCTCGTATTAGAGTGATGCATCAGTTGGCCAGTTTTAAAAAAGATTTGAACATTTTCACTACTAACATGAGTTGCTAATAGTCACATTTTTTTTGAACTCAAAAAATAATGCAATTAATAGGAAGGTCAGCTAAATTTTGGTAAATTTATCATAAAGGCTGGTCTACCATTTTTTGAAAAAAAGCACCATTTTCAAAATCTTACAATACATAAAATTATTAATAGCAGATATATTGAAATTCTTAGGACAAAGTCATTCACTAATGGTTTTAATAAATTTGTATTAAATGTGCTTATAGTGTGAAGTTCAGTCTTTTATTCTGCCACCTAGTGTGTTCTCTTTACAGTGCTAGAAAAAAAATGTGTTATATTAACAAGTAAGGAAGGAATAACCGAACATTTTATACTCTTGCAACTTGTAAGGATAAAAGCAGGAAAAATACTTTCAGGTGTGGCAAAAATTTATTTAATACTAGAAAAGAAGTTAACTTCAGCTTCCCCGAAGCTCTAATACCCTTCATATCTTATACCATAAAAGGCTATAAAAAGATCTTTATCTTGATACTGATCCATCAGTTTGTATGGCAGCTTTATGCTATAGTGCTCCGATATGAATAATATATTCGTAGATTTTAGTGTTTCCATGGAAAGTAATCCATGCCAAATTTCGTGAATATATATTATCAAATAAAAGCTCACATACAAGGTCTTAATTTTGGCCGATCACTTTATTTGGCAGCTATATCTTATAGTGGTCCGATATCGGAGGCTCTGAGACATGAGCAGTTTCTTTCGATTTCACTTTGGTTACACTTTAAGGGGTCAATTACCTTTTTGTTTACGTTTGGGCAAGTCAACAACCTTTCTTAACATTTGGTGTCAGTGACCCTTTTGTTTCCATTTAGCCAAGTCAACAACCTTTGTTTACATTATAAGGTCAATGTCCTTTTTGTTTACATTTTAACTAGGCTAATGGCCCTTTTGTTTACATTTATCCAAGTCAACAACCTTTGTTTACATTATGAGGTCAATGATCTTTTTGTTTACATTTTGCCTAGATCATTGACCCTTTTGTTTATATTTATCCAATTCCGCAACCGTTGTTTACATTTAACCAGCTCAACAACTTTTTTTTCATCAAATCGCAGCCTGATAAGTACCGATCTGGCACGGTGCCTGTTTTTCTTTTATAGAGTCAGAGCTGGCAGCCTGCTCTCGAGAGGTCACCTCATGACTTTCAAATCACATCACATCAAGGCACGAGCGTCACATAAGCACTGGCCAAGTACGGTGCCTGCTTTACTTATATAGAGCCAGGTTGGCGTGAGGTCACCTCATGACGTCATTATTCGACGTAATCGTGAATAGATTACAATCAAATTTGGTATTTTAATAAATTATATTATTGGGTATAAACTCTCTTAATTGTATTGCTATATTTTACTTCACGTCAGCTAAAATTGTATTAAAATCATCTTCAACAGGGGTTTATGTGCGTAACATATAAACTCAACTGAAAGGCTAAATTAAGACTAATATATGGACTTGATGTGGAAAACGGCAACCAGAGGATCGGATCGGAACAAGGCATTACTTTCTGAGTGTTTCAAACTTTTTAACAAATTTAATATACTCTCTTCAGGGTATAAAAATAAAATAAATTAATCCCTTTACAAGATTCCTCATTGCATACTCGTACGAGTTCGGTGCGATAAGGCTGCAAATTAAAAACAAAATTATGGAAATACGGCATTTTATTTCTCACCTTGTCACTTGTAGCGTAGAATCGCCTTAAAAATTTAGTTAATCGAGGTACGAGGAACTTAAATAAACGGCCAGCTTCCTCATTTAATCGAAAAATTAAGAGTCCGATTAAACTGAAATTCTGGCAATGACCGTATATGAGAATGATCCACACGGAAATGTAGAATTCTTTAGCGTTAGTGGCGTTATCGAGCGCTGAGGTTATGTACTAATCAGAACGCCCTCGTTAACTGCACCAATGCAAGTGAGTGTAGTTTCCGTTTCCTTGTGACTTGTACTTACACACACAGCTTCACAAGCAAAGCTAAAAACACGTTTTAAAATGCATAGAAGCATATACATACCTTTCTCACAGTTCACTTATACATTAATGTACATATGTATATGTATTTACATATGTATGTATATATGTAAGTTTCACTTGATGTTATGATGTTTCAATGACACGTAGGAAGTTATTT